AGTGACTCCATCTGTCCTAGCACCGAACTGTTGAGAATTTTCAGCCATATTAGAAATCAACTTTGTGGCTTCATCTGTTGTTTTATTGACTAGAACCACCACTAGCTGCATCTACCATGCTTCTATCCATCAGTGACAATCCTTCATAAAAATATTGAATCAATAGTTGGTCGGGTATCTAGTAATGTGGGCAACTAGTACATAGTTGTTTGAATCTCTCCCAGTATTCGTAGAGGGATTTTCCTATGGTCTACCTTATACCACATATGTCCTTCCTAATGTTAGCCGCCTTGGAAGCTGGAAAGAATTTCTCAAGGAACTGCTTTTTAAGTCCTTCCCATGTGATTATAGATCCCGATGGCAAGTAATACAACAAATCTTTAGCCTTGTCTACCAAAGAAAAAGGAAAAACTCGTAGTTTGATTTGTTCTGCCATAACACCTTAAGATTTCATAGTCGAATACACTACATGAAACTCCTTCAAATGTTTGTGTGGGTTTTCACTTGCAATACCACAAAAAGTAGGCAATAAATGAATTAAACCCGATTTAAATTCGAAAGCTTCCTCAGTTTCCAAATATGTGATGCATAATGGCTGCTGGTTAACATTTGGAGTTGCGAGTTCTCTCAAAGTCCTTTGAGCTACCATCACTTTCTCTAATCCACTTACGGCCTTTTCCAAATCACAAAATGATCTGCTTATGTCAACAACCAAATTAAGTTTGGGAGAAGATGGTGATAAAGCTTGTTGCTTATGCAATTTAGCTTTCTTAGCCAATCTCTTGGCTCTTTTCTCAATCTCTAGATCAAATTCAAGCTTTTCTATATGGAAAGATCGAGACATAAAACAAAAATAATTAAAATGTAAAGTAACAAATCACTTCAAGCACTAGTGTTCCCCCACAACGGTGCCAAAATTTGATGAATGTCAAACCATCAAAATTTATTAAATATCAATTACCTACTCCCTAAAAGTTAATGAGTATAGTGATGAGTAGGGTCATCTCCTCAGGGAACTGGTAAATTTTTACTCACAAAAATGTGCAATGAATATTATGGAGGGGAAAGTTGTAGAATTTTTTAAAATTATAATTAAAAATGCAAGAATACATTAATTATCAAAATCGAGTTAAGAAAATAATCTTGGCAACGGTTCACTCAATTGATCACTGATACCAGTAATAACTCATATGTTCACAAATAAATTGGTTATAGCAATTCAACAACCGTCGAACTACCAATCTCTTCTTAATTTTTCGGTAGTCAAGAGACGCTCATTAACTACTTCCTTTGTAAAGTAGATAATCCTAGAGACACTCATAGGGTTTAATTTATTCACAGCCTTAAATATTAAAGAGACCCAATTCTAGTTAACAAACACATATGCAGGTTTATTTAAACTAAATTAATTATTCCCACAACATAGATTAGACACTTGTGAAGTAATGAAATTGTGTCATCTGCCACTAATATTAAATTATCCAGTATTATGAACTTGTTGTCTTAATTGGCATTAAATTATTCAAACAATTGAATAGCTGGCCAAACTATTCAACTAAACCCAAATGATAGTAACCAGTGAAATATAGGAAATAATTAAATACTCATGAACATGTAAAATTAAAAACAGAAAAAATTAAAAAATCTCACAATTGATCATGAAACCGTGCCTTGATTACTCCTCAAGTAGACATAAATTTGGCTCCGCTCCATGAATAAAACGTGGCTAAAAATCTCCATAAAATTCTTTCTACAAGTCTTGTTCTGTAAAGCTTGTAAACTAGAAAGAAACCCTAACTAAGTGTTATTTGAATGTACGAAAGAAAAATCCAACTACTGGTCACATTTCTCTCGGCTCTCTTCAGTCAAGTCACGAAAGAGAATATAAAGAAAATGTCTTCCATGTCTTTCTGTTCCGAGTTATTGATCACATCTTGTCTTCCTTTTTTTTGTCCAACCGTAAATTTACTTTTCCTTTATTTTCTATCCTAATCAACTTCCAAAAACTTATATGAAGCTAGCTTATTGCAAAATAAAATGCTAACTAAACAAGTTCCCTACTCTAATAAAAACTCCTACCAAACATCCAAAAAATAATTCCAAACTTCAGAGATAATTTCCAAGTCCCCAATCTTCAGCTTCTCAATCTCTAGCGTGGACATGCTTTGGAGTAAATAGTCTTCTGGAAATTTTAACTTGCAGTGCCTTTTTCTACTCCAAAATCCTATAAACAACACAAAACACCAAATATAAACAAAATCCATCAATTAACATAATATCTGGCCAAAATTAAAATATTAACAAATAACATGCACAATTATCTCACTATCATGCATGCTCGCACAAAGAGCAGGGCCCAAAAAACTAGTTTAATCAATAATGGTGAACACAAGTCCAGGCAAAGCAATGAAAAAATAATCTAAGGGGACAAAGTGTAACACCCCAAATTGCAGGAGGAATGGGGCTAGTTAATCCATAAATAAAAATAGTTCTTTAGAGTTCTACAAGGATATTTTGAGGAAATTCAATGGGGCTTTTCGTTCATATCATGATCATGGGTTGGTTTTTTCACCCAAAAGGTGAATGTAGGAGAGAGTAAGCGTAACCTTTAACATATAAAATAGAAGTTTTCTGCAATTACAACCAATCTTAGGGGGCATAAGTGAGTTAACCCCTTTTAATTATTGAGCATCGAACTTTTTACGTACTAAATAGTAAATCCTCATATCTAGAAGATAAGTTCCCATATGTATAGGAAGTTCATATTTCTAAGCTGCTAGTATCAGTTAATGGATTTAGAAGTCGGCAATCATCAGTGGCGGATCTAGGAACTTATAAAAGGGGTGTGACTCAATGAATGTTGAGTACAATTACTTCACAAGTCTTGAAAAGAATAGACATTAAGTTTCTTCTATAAGCCAAAAGTGAAGGGCATGAGAAAATATATTATGAGATCAAAATTTCAAAGAGAACAAGAGAAGGACATAATATAAAAATTATAGAAATCACATATGGATTTAGTGCCGTTGGGCCGATCATCTTTAGGGTACCATAGGTATGGTTGACAATTTCGTATGATTGTCTTATTATTGTACTTTCTACATTATATGATGTACTCTCACATAAGTTTATTGTACTCATAAGTTTTATTCGTGTACACCATATCAATGCATAATATACACCTATCCCTGTAAGTGTACATCACAACGTACATAGCAATACACTAACCATACCGAACTCGACCTAAGCCAATTTTACTTGCTTCAATTCCCATATGCAGGAATAAAATATGGGCTCCGTTTGGCAAATGAGTTTTTTGAGTGTTTATCTAAAACTTTACTGTAACTTACTGTAGAAGTTGTAGAAAAAAATTTTAAGATGGAAACTTTTTTCCCTTTTCTTTTTCTTTCTTTTTTTTTTCTTTTCTTTCCTCTCTTCTTCTTCTCCCTTCCCTCTCCCAGCCGGAAGCAGCAGATGCAAAAAAAAAAAAAAAAAAAAAAATTGGCTTTTTCTCTCTCCCTCCTTCTCTTGCCCCCTCTACTCTCCCTCTCCCTCCCTCCCTCCGCTGGAAGTTGCAGCACCAGAAATGGGAATTTTTTTTGCTTTTTCACTCCCCCTCTCCTCCCCTTTCCCCCGCCACCTCTCCCTCCCTCCGCCGGAAGTTGTAACAACAGAAACAAGAAATTTTTTTTATCAGCTTGTGCTTGTGAAGGAGCAGTTAAAGAAGGCTTCTTTTATTTTGAGATGATGCAAAATGACTATGGAATTCTGCCAGGAATTGAGCATTACTTGGGTGTTATTGATGTTTTGGGTCAAGTTGGACACTTGGTTGAAGCTTTGGAGTTCATTGAGGATATGCCTTTTGAGCCGATCATTGAAGTTTGGGAAGCTGTTTTGAGTTTCTCCAGAGTACATGGAGATATTGACCTTGAGAATCATGTTGAGGAGCTATTGGCCGAGCTTGATTCCTCCAAGGCTACAGTTGATGAAGTGCCTACTCCATTGGTAGTAGGAGAGGGGAAGGGTGGCGAGGGTAGGAGAGGGGGAGCGGGAGAGGGAGGAAAGGGGGAGAGAAAAAGCAAAAAAAAAAAAAGTTGCATTTGTCGGAACAGGCATCGGAAGAGGTGGCTAGCGCGGCGTCGGCCGGTCTTGGTAGGTGACGAAGGTAGTGGTGGGTTGAGGTGGAAGAAGAAAGGAGGAAGGGAATTTTTTTTTTTTTTTTTTTTGGATATTTTGAAGTATGTAGGTAAAAAATTTGAAGAAATTTTTTCAGATTACTGTAATTAAAGTTGATAAAAAACTGGTAAGATATAAACTTGAATAAAAAACCTATTTGCCAAATAGGCCCATGGTTTTTATTCCAACTCGACGCTAGACGAATAGAGCAACAATATTATGAATTCAAATAATAATTTTCAAATAATAAAATTAATATCCAAAAAGTTGAACGTAATATTATGAACTCAAAAAAATAAATATTATTTGCTTTTATTTATTTTTGAAACTTCAACTATATCTATGTCCAATCTTTCATTTATTTGTAATTAATTTTCTCCTTTTTCTGAAAAAGTTTGTATTAATTACAATGACAACTAGAATTAGTTCGAAAAAAGAAAACAATCATGAAGTTTTAGTATATTCGTTCCAATGACCATAGAATATTGGATTATTTTATAAATTTACTAATATATATATAATTTAATTATATATACATAGGTCTGGTATGAGTTTGAATTTGAATAATCATAGAAAAATCAGATCCTATCTAGACCCATAACTCTTTTAAAGGGTTTGGGTCTCAGCGGGATTTGAGTTTGAGAAATTAAATGCAAACTCTATCCAAGTACATTCAATTTGGATAAAATTCGATCTATTTGACATGCCTAAGTACAACCAACTTTATTAGTTTGCATTTAATGTCCCTTAAAGTGAAAAACAATTAGAACAATATATTTGACTTTCTTTCTCTTTAAAATTAAATAAGTAAATACCAAATATTTGTCGACCAAAAAAAAAAAAAAAAAGAAGAAGAGAAAAGGAAGCACAATAGATAAGTAACAAACATACCTGAATGAAGACTGGCAATGGCGGGAATTGGATGCCTCCCGCAACCCCATCAAATGCTGCTACTTCCCAAACAAGTAAATCTCATTAAAATCCCACCAAGGCAAAAAAAAAAAAAAGTATGCTAAATTGTTTTATATAACTGAATATTTTTCTTCTGTATTTTTTTTCATTGCTTTTCAGAGAAACCATGGTGTCCTCCAATGCTGCTCCAATAATCCCAATAGCAGGAAGGAAAGAACCCAGACCCCAAAATTCTTGAAACTTGCTGTTACCGGAGTTACTGAACTTCTAAGACTCCTCTCCCAGTCTGACAAAAACAGGTATTTTGGTCGGAATTCAACATGTTAACATGTATCTTTGGAATATTCATTATTTGAAGTTTCCCCACTTTTCATTTACTTGGGATTTCTGGGGTTTTTTTTCTTTTTTTAAAGAATTGGGGTTGGGGTTTGAAGGGTGGGTTTTATCCTTAATTTGGCCCACCTTTTTTTTTTTTGGTGGGTGGGTGTGCTGTGTTGATGGTATACTGTGTTGCCTTCGATTTTTTAGCTTGAAATAGAAAATGAAGAAGTAACTGGCATTGGATTGAGTTGGAATGGAAAAGGTTTAAAAAAAAAAAAAAGAGTGAGAGAGAGAGAAAGGAATAATTTCTTTTTATGGTTTTGGAACAAGGCAGTTTCCCTTTACTGTCTGAGAAAAAAAAACCTGAAATTTATTGTCTGAGATTTGTGGATGATTGCATTCAGAGACTTATGTTAACTTTAACTAGATTGCCTAAATATTTTTGGCTGGAGTGCAGAATTTAGATGGTAGTCTTAATTATCACTAAAAGCTATAAATAGCTCCTAGAAACGTCGATGGTTAGAATGGCCTAGAAAGGATTGGTTTCCATTTTGAACTGAGCTTACAATATATGAAGCTCAATATTCATGCTCGTCTTGTTGATGCCTTACATGCTATTCTTCTTTTAGCATTTACCAGACATTGCTAGTTTGAATTTTAAATTTATATCAGCTTAATTAATAATTTTACTAGTCTCATAGCATAGCAACCATCTCAAGCTTGAGAAAGAATAGTGAGTATTTTGGTCTGGTAAATCACTTCCGCTGTTCATATGTGTGATCGATCGACTGATTCTAAGATTCTTGGTGCTTTCTTTTGAAACATCTTAGTTTTATATAGGGAAGGTTAGCAGCTTTTGTCTCGATGGACTTGCTTCCTTCCTTCTATGTATAAATTTTTTAATTGTGATGGATGACAGTCGAAATTGGTTAATAAAGTTTTCTTTTGAGTCCTAGTATTCAGTAATTGGGAATTCTTAAGCAGCCTTTTCTGGAAAAGAGCACATAATTTTAAGTCTTTTACTGAAATATCGTGGGTAGCATTGAGTGAAGTTCCTTCCAGATATCGAAACAAAAATTATATGATGACTATTCAGTTGTTATGCAGATCGGACACAATAAACAGTCAGATTGATGAAAATTTGGTTTCTAATATAGATGACATTCTAATGATTATCAAGTCTGACTATGAGAAAGCATACTTTGTAACAGGTAATACCTTGTATCTTTTCCCTTCCTTTCCAAAACAGCAGCAAGTACAGTAACTATCAGTCAAGTGTAAAGACGTACGTATGATAGTTCGGGAACTGAAAATCATTAGCTAATCAACTGTATGTCGGGTGGTATAACTATTTTTACGACGCTATTGTCAATTGAATAGTGAATATACAATCCCATGCTCAGATTGAATGCAAATAATTCGAAAATTTCTAGTTACTAGGTTGCCGTTGTATTAGATATGAAATTGTCCAAGCTTTTTAACATCTTACTTAGCACAATAATGCTGTGAAGAACACTTCAAAATAAGAATGACATCATAGTGAAAAAGTGCAGGTAATGTCCAGTGGCCAATGGTTGTTTTGTGTCTCAAGACTCATGTTTATACATGTTGCAGGTTTAATTAGATATCACTTCCTGTAAAGAAGATGAGCTTCTTCAAGAAAATATAAAGAAACAGAAAAAACTCCTATGGAAGGACAACATGCCCCCATTGTTTCTGAAGACTTGAAGCACTGCAAGCATTTGTCTACATGGTAGTACACCGAATAGGAAGCTTACACACACAGACCACGCATACAACTAAACACAGTGACAAAGTTAACTAAGAACATATTAAGTGAAAAAAGATAGATAATGTGCTTGTTATGTGTTGTATAGAAGTACACAATGGTCAAAAAGGATACATAATCACTTGGATTTGGACAAACTCTAACTGAATGTTAGAATCTTAAAAAATTCCTCTTTTTTCGTTTTGCATCTCCAAGTCAAGTAATTCTGTGGCTACTTTTGGATTATGGATTAGACCAAAAATCATGAATCTGTTTCTCAAGCTATGAATGGCTGTATATATAACATTCACACATTTTTCAGATCCTGTCATTTTCCTATATCTCAGTGATGTCAACAATCAGGACTACACATCATGAGTCCTAAGGAGTAAAAACAGGGCCAAGCATCAATAGGATTTTGTCAAGCTCTATTCATTAATTCAATCTGGTAAAGAAAGTATTGGACTGTAAAATATGCTTGGTTCATAATTATGTGCAGAAAACAGGATATTGGAAGTAGTATAGAGGCTTTGGTTTAATTTATGGAAGAGCTAATCACATAGTTTAGCTTATTTCAATTCCAAGGCATAAACACATTAACATGTGTAAACTTCGATGGATGACAATAGGCACACAAGTATCATCAATTCATGTAAGATATACAATGTGTCAGTTAGACAGCCTTCATGTTTAATAAATCATTTCATTCGAACTGAGTTTGAATTTTTATTTCACTCAGGACACTTTACCTCAGCAATTTATGCAGATGAATGCACTTTTGAAGATCCAACTATTAAATTTCAAGGTACAAATGAGAGATCTTTTTCATTGTCTACCTTTTTTACACTGGACTGCAGAGCATGTAGCATTTTAATTATGTTATGCTAGAGTGCCATGTATTTTTCTGTAGTCTGTTGTAGTGCTTTTATCTCTGTTTTACGGGATCTGTGTCAAGCTGAAATGGTAATACAGTTTATGTCAGTTGTTTTACTCTTTTAACCTCTAGTTTTGTCACTCTGTCTTTCTTTGTCCCTATTATGTACAATTGGTGTCTAGCACAAATAGTTTTTTTATAGTTTTCACATTTCCCTTGGATTCCTTGACCTTATTCTGTGGTAGGAGAAGAGATTGGTTGAGGCAGGTTTCAATTTGGGTAAATAAAATCTCTGATCAAGCATATTTGCGGTAGTTGGAAAGATAGGTTTAGGAAGGTTGGCGGTGTGGGTAAAGAACCTATTATTTTATTATAAATTATGCTTTAACAAGTTTAAGCATCAGTAGTTTATGAAAAAGTTTCCCTTTCATTAAGTGTTCGGATCTGTGTCAAAAAAATTCTGTTGTGTTGGAAACTCTCTTGATTCTGATTGATGAGTGTTCCCTGATATCATACAGCTCGTGTTCTTCAACTTTCTGTTCACCTGCCAATTTTAAGTTGTGGGAGTTGTCTCTGTGGGTTCATATTATTGCAGAATGAGCTCAAGAGCCATTTATGAGCCTCATATGCGGTAGCTTCAAGGGCCTTGTTTAATTAATTTGTGCTAATTTCAGTTGCAATACTTTTAGAAGTCATCCTTTAGATGCTCTTGCTGATATATTCTTGGAAAGGGTAGATTCTAGTCAGGGTATCTTGCAAAGGCTAAAAGCCTTCAGAAGTGCTCTCTCCACAGCACAACCAATTGGTTCCTACTAGTGAACTTTATATAGCGGTATACTTCCTTGAGCTAGTGATGTGGAGAAGGATATGAGATGATAGGTTAGAGTCTGAGGCATTTCTATAGCTATACATGTCAAGATACTGAAGTTAGCTCTCTCTCTTTTATTAATTTTCCCGCACTTCTTAATGTTCTGTTAATGAGTTTTGCAATCTGTCCAACTACTTGTTTGGTCTGTTTTGTCTCATTTAATATTCCTGTGGATGAGGGTATCATACATGGTCTTCTTTTGAGTTATTTTTTGGTTTCAGTTAATCTCTCAATCTCTTCGCATCAAGAAACTTCATCTTTTATGCATGCAATATTTTAGTTGCATCTGCAAGATACTAGCTTTCTGTCATTTTTGTTATGCATATGTCAAGTTTCTCATGTCAAGGTATCACTTACAATCATCAGGGCACTGAAAACAGTTGAATTTTATGTTATTTTTGGTTTTCCGTCCAGGAAGGGATTTGTATTCACGCAACTTGAAACTGCTGGTACCTTTCTTTGACAATCCATCCATATTCTTAAAAGAGATTAAGAAGGTATTCTCTCTCAATAGATAGCTATCATTGTTTAAGCTTTGTTTTCCCTTGGCTGAAAAAATAGGAAGAATGAGTTGTATCTGTAAACCTCCATAATCCTGACAATCAATTCTATTTCTTCCATCTCTTGAAGTCTTTTATAAACCTTCAAAGAAAATTGAAAGCTAATAATTTTTTAGCTTGGTTTAGTCACATACTCATGTGAACCAAGAAATGTAGCACTTTGTAAATACAAAGTTATTATTTTTCTTTCAGCTTTGCCTTTGACAGACATTGCTTTTATCACCTGTTACCAACTTATTATCATACATAAACACGTAATATTAATTATCATATAGCCAACTGTCAATCTTATCTTTGTCACCCAGAAGTATAATGCATAAATTAGTAGCTAGAACAGAAATAAGGGTTTCATCTGAAGCTTGTACTCTCAGTATGCTGTTTTCTGTTGATTTTTCCATTGAGAGTATTTGCAAATCATTACCAGATTAAAGAATTCTGATGCATCACAACCAACTCATGCTGTTTCTTATCTAGCAACATGTTCCCTCACTGTGTCATGTGATAAGGTATAACACCTTTGGATATGACATGTAGGTGAAAAATTAGTAGCTTTTGTGATCTGATGTGTGAGCCTTGATCCCATGCTGGATGAAGTATCATTTGGACGTGCCTGATGATTTTCATTAGGACAACCTATTGATAAACTCTTGAGCAACTCTTTTGGCCTTTGAAGAGGTTGATGCAGGTCAATCATATTGCACATTCACATCCTGCAACATGACATATTGATTTAAAATAGGTCTTAGGGATACTATCACATCAGGTATGTATTAGGGAATTCTTGATGTTGTGTACAGATATCCCTTCAATATCAGATGGACCTGTGCCACACATGAATGTTAGTGGAAGCTTTTATCTGCTAATAGGGTGTGGCCTTCTGATCAGTAGAGACAGTGGAAAAATAGAAGTGATACTGGTTTCAATCAATATCTTATCATTTGGATTTTCCCGACATTCAGCAATATAGACTGTATGCACTAGTTTTCTTTGATTTTCTCATAATAAGTGCACTGGAAGTTTGTTGTATCAAGGAATACAAGTAAAATAGTGCACTACTCATTGACTACAGAAAGAAAAAGAATTACCCTTGTGTTGATTTTTAGGATTGGCAAGTTGGGACTTGATATTGTAAATTGATAGATGCTCATTTGGAGTTACTCAACTAGATATATTTTGATATGGTATAAAAGAATGCTAAACATGCCTTTTATGTGGTGAAATTTTAAAACTAATTGGACAACATTTAAAGCTGCAAATATAATCACTTGTAGTCTAATAGTTTTCTTGTTTTCCCTATTCTTTCATAATCATATATTCCCTATATCATGGTCCATGAAGTGAATCATACTGGCTAACTAAAAATGTGATATTGAAAACACGTGGCCTATCACTCTATACATTTTCTCTACCCTTTTATGATTCAACATGTCTTGCCTATTACCTAATAGATGGTCTCTGTTCCAAAATTTGTTGGAAAATAATAACAAAATACATGGATTCAATGTGTAATTGATTACTGGCTGCTTTTAAAGCAATCTATAAGCCAGACTAACTGCTTTATGAATTGGCAACTAGGACGATTTCTATAACTTCTCAGCAATTAGGAAAAATTGAGGAATTGTGTTTGATTGATGTCAGGGCTGGTTGAAAGTGTTAGATTTATTTCCCCGCTAGCACTCCATGTTAAAGTTAGTCCAATTAAAGGGAAATTTTTATTATCAAATCATATAAAGAATGTAAAACGTCTTTGGATTTGGTCATGTTTTCATTGAGAAGTATGCAATATACTGAATGTCTATAGGTGCAAGATCATCTCATGACATGATTCTCATATTACTTTATAGATTCTTCATTGTTGGCTAGAAAGAAGGAAGAAATGAAATAAACAGAATGGATTGCCTAGACAGCCAGTAAGATAGCTGCAGTTGCCAAAGATTGCTGGAGCAACATTACTTGAGATCCTGTTTTACTTTGAGCTTCCACTGAAACTGAAATGGAAGGTGTGAGAGCCTTTCCTCCCCTCCTTCCTTTACCACAGGGAAGAAAAACAAGCCAATGAGGAAGAGGTTGCATTGAATAGTTGATCTGGATACTTCTGTAGAAGATCTCTGAACAGAGTTTTTCTGATTTTGTGAGCTGTGCATTGACTAGTTATCAAACAGTCATGTTAGTCAGCTTCTCTTGTTGGGCAACTGTTGCAGGCAGTTGCTGTCTGTTTCAAGTGTCAAATCAAGAGGAGAGGGAAAGTAACTTCAAGATGGATTTTCTTTTTTTTCCATTTGAGCATTAGAAATGAATCAACCACTTTATTTGCTTATCAAAACTTCATATCACAAAATTGAAATGCCAAATATATCAGTTGAAATTCCATAATTGTTTCTAGTTGTCACTTTCTGTAATTGGTCTTTACGCACTGCAATATTACTGAAGTTGCGTTTCATACTGGGTTGATTGGCAATGATGTTTACTTCTTCTGTTTGCAAACATGTCATATCTCCTTGTTTCATCTTCATGTCATATTGATTAGTTTTCATTTAGTTTCTGATTGTAAGTTTTTCAGTTCTTAATGTAATTTCTTGCCTTCATAAGTAGCTTTCTCTACCTTAATGTTGCTCATGAGTCTATACCAAGCTTCAGTTTGCTCCATCATTTGAATCTATGCTTTTCATGTGCAGGGCATCAATCCAAAAGCCAAATATATAATTGCATCGTGGAAATTAAGGTAATGCAAATGTTTATTGAGCATGTACCTGGTAAATATCACTTAATTTGTATCTAGCCTTTGTCTAAGCAATTCTATTATTCCTTGAATAGGTATATAATTATTTCTGAAGAATAGCTACTGGGTTGCATCTGTTTAAGTCCCTGAAGCAAGCAATGACTGTTGGAACATCTGATTAATTCAATATGGACTTGCTTCTTGATTTTACCATCGAACTTCTTTGAAGTTGAACAAACCAGAAATGGAAGAGTATAAGTCAGTGCTCTTCTTTTTTGTTTCACATGCATAAATGGATACTGTAAAAAACAACAATATAATTATTTCCCAAAGCATTTCGTGTACCTGTAGTGTTATGAGGTTCTATGTTCCATAATTTGTAACTCTATCTGAGCTTTAGTAGGAACAATAATTCCTTGAGCTATACTTGCATTTTGGCTTCTAGAAGACTTGTGAAAATGCTGAGTAGAAATGGAGTGATTGTCAAAAATTGAAGTTTCTCAAGATTGTAATTGATCGCACCATTGATTTGCAGAACCCATCTCATACTTCTGTGGAGGCCTCTCATTCTGATTGATGGAACCACAACCTATGATATTGACGATCAGTTAAGAGTAAGTGGAATATATGTTCCTCCTGCAACCATGTTCAAATCGTAAATCATAACGCTTGTATAACTTGGTGATTCTTGTTTTTTCAAATGTTGTGCAGGTTATTAGGCATGTTGAGAGTTGGAAGATATCTGCACTTGAAGCAATAGGTCAGATATTTACTCCAGGCTTTCTGAGGTCAGATAAATGAATCACTTATTCTCTGGCGAATTTAACAGTCTGTTCTACATGCATGCTATTCAACATGGACCAAGACAGATTGTCCAAATCAGCTTTAGAAAACAGACTTTGCTCTGCTTACATCATTGGGGTATTAGACCCAAGTTGATCTATAACTAGTCTCCCTCTTGTTCTGGGGATGAGAAATCGCTCTGTGCTCTTTTCAGAGCTAAAAGCATCAAATGCTCGATACTGCAAGGATATACAAGCATTACATGAATGGCCTCACACGCGTTAGTTCTATGTGACAGTTTCCTGAATGATATTCTGAAACTGCATGCAGGAGATGACAAAGAACACCCCTTGTATCTTACCCTTAAAAACTTAATTTGCTTAGTTGGCTTTTTGCCTTCATAAGGAATGATTAAGATCCCTAGTTTTCTTAAAGACTTCAGAAATATGATTCTACTTCTATGCACAAATATTTGAGAATCAGATTCACGGTCCACTTGGTCTAAAGTATGTAAACAGTTGTTGCTACTCGTAGCTCTGACATTATAAACTCTGTAGGATGCTGTTTATTATGATTTTTATTGTTATATTGATGTGATTGGTGATCTTCTGAAGTAATTAAGGAAATGATTTTGATGTCTTTTGGGTGCATGGTTTTACTATATTTAAGCCTGCTTCTTGGTTGCCAATATTTGTGCTTGTAAAAGAAGATTCTTAGCTTTTTATGGTAAGAGAAGCCATCTCTTACATATACCAAACCAGAAAAGATGATACCTGTTCATAGAAGCAAGATCACCTGAACTTTTTGACCAAGTACTTGAGAATCTTGGACACATTTTTCGAACTTCTAAAAGAATTTCACATTTGCGCAGTGTTTGGTTGTATGAAATTAGTGAGGAAAAGGATAAACAAATTCCTTGAAAATGCTACAGCTTTACCAATTAGTAACAGTTGAACACAGAACTTCATAGTCCATCCCTCCTGTGCTTTCAAAAACCAAGGAAAGTAGTTGGTGAAAGGGAAAGGGATCCCATTGCTAGTTTCCAGTTTCCAATTCCTTGAGTTCTTCCATATTTGAAGATTTATCATAGTATACAATATTTAAGGCCCACTAGCCCTCATCCACAAGATTTGCTTCCAAATAGGTTCCACTAAAGCTTGTTCCACAATAGTTTCTTTTCTCATCCCAAAAAAAAAAAAGGCAGCCTCAAGATTTACTGTGGAACCAGGCCCAACCAAAAATACCAAAACTAAATGTTATAATCTGACCCATTATTTGGAAGAAATTGAAATTTACTTCTCAAATTTCCTTGTTCTTGTTTGAAATTGGCAGCAACCTGCAAGAATAATTACATTTGAGATGTGTTGCCTGGATCCCCCCAAATAAGAAAAAGTTTCTGCTGTCATCATTTTGATGGACGAAAGTACAAAAAGGATTCCTCTGTTATAATAATTAGGAACAATATGATGGCAAATGAAATCATCAATGCACGGAGTACACAAGAAATGCACAGTGTGTGTATAATATCTACATACACGCACGTGTACAATGACAGCAGATACTTATTGCCAATGTATAAAAGAAAATCATTTAGGGTACGTTTGGTTCTACTGAATTAGAATTGAATTAGAATTGAAATTCTATGAATTGAAATTCCAAGTCATTTCAATTCTTTCGTTTGGGAAATGCATAGAATTGATACGGAATTTATTTGAAATTCCAAATTCTTTGTTTGTATGAGAGAAGAATTCATTAGGAATTAGAATTGTTTTCATGAAACATTTGCTTACATAAAATTTTTCTTTTTTTTTCTTTTTATATAATAATTTCTTTTTTTCTTACATTTAGCTAATTTTTACTAAAGATTTAAAAGAAAGAACCAATTTGTGCCTTTAATAATTTATTTTTTCCCACTGCCAAAGCTTATTTTATCACCCTTTTAATACGTGTTGATACTCATATGCATACTTGCTACTGCTGCTATTTCTGCAGTCCAGCAGTGCACTACACCTCCTCTTCATGTAGGGCAGTACAGCATTTGGAGGCACGCCACATCCACATATACTCATTCAAAGTTCAAACATCCACCTTGTCAATTGTTTTACAAACGTACTATTTGAGAAAGAATGCAAAGGTTCATGCAGCTAAAGGACAAGTCAGGGCATCAACACAGGCAGCTATGTTAATCTCAATATCTAAAATGCTATTTCATCAGACAAAAGATCCAATGTTCCATTCTTATCATCTCAAAAACAGATAGAAAATAGCTGAAATACTCCCTTGAATCTTTCTATAATCTTGTTTTGATCCATTACATAAAAAACAAAGAACTCATCAGAATTTAAAAAGTCATGGATACACAATGGAGTAGTAACAACTTCTACTTGCTCTACTTGGGCTTCCAGCAATCAGCTCAACTTCTTCTACAAAAACAACTTCAACTGGAGATTACCCAAAAAAAAAAATCAATTACCAATGTGCATCAATAGCCAATCCTTTTTTAAGTCATCTCCGAGACCAGAAAAAGTGTCATACTTTGTCCTGTCATTCATAAGTAAGTCAATACCCTTCAACAATTGAAATCTATTTAATTCAATTTTAGATAACTCGTCTTCCACCATTTTTGTTGTAACTTTTGAGCATTCTGAATTTAAGTACTTATCCAGTGAATCTGCCATTCTTCCCAACACTTTGTAAAGTACTTGAGAGCTCGTTAGTTTTCTCTTTGTGCCACGATCATTTGTTGAAGATGAAGCTTTTGATTTTGACCGTTGTCGAGCTAGCAGTGCATTCATAACTTCATCTTCTAAAGATCGCGAATCAGTCTCAAATGATTCCTCTACATTAGCAGACTCTTCAACTTCAGTTTCAACATTAGCCTCAAAAACAGTTTGGGCACCCTCTCCATTTGCACGATCTTGTGAAAACAGTGTACAGATATCCTCCCAATTTTCAACCACAATTTTTTTTCTATAAGGAAGAATTTTTGGATTCTCACTTACTCGAGCATTCCATACATCCTCATCACGAACATCAATTCTACCTCTAGAGTAGTCCCATATTATTGTAGACCCAGAGTTACAGGACTGGAGCAGTGGGTATAAGATGTCATAGTGTTTCTCCCATGTCTTGAAACGAGATATAATATTAGCCTTTGTCACAGATATATTGAGTTTATCGAATAAAGCATTCATTACTGCGGTGTAGGCTACTGTTTTCCATGCACATTTACCATCTAATTTGTTTCCTTGGTTCATTTGGTCAATAAAACAGGTGCCCATTACACGATCAATTTCAGGAGTCCAAGTGAAATACCCTTTGCCTTTCCCTTTTGACTGAGATGTTGCTTCAGATGCCATATCTAAGGCAAATATGCACCAGAAAAACATCACAATGTCATGTTCTTAAGAATAGATTCAACAGCCACTGCATTATAGAACTAAAAGTGAGAGGCAAATATGCACCAGAAAAATCCATACATATGTTAAATGAAGAACTTATGCTGACTTATTTGGACGGAACCTTTTTGCAAAAGCAATTTGGAGATGTTGCTAAGATCATCACTTATGTGCACAAAATAGTTTGGAGATGTCCTAAACTTATTCTAGTGACTTAAAGCTTCTACTGGTAAGGATTTTCCAGCACACTGCAACAAAAGAAAGAAACAGAAAAGTCCCGACAAAGCTTTCTTTCTAGAAACAAGACTAATTGGCTACGAGAAACATCAGAATCCTTCTAAAGCCTTCTATGAGTCTCATCAAAAGGAAAGATTTAGTAGAGTCTCATTTAGAGGGAAGCTCTAATGGAGTTGCATCCTTAAAATTATCGATGGATAATCAGCTGAAATTCTACATAACACAAGAATTTAGTGTACTTCAAACCAATAAGAATTAAACAAGAACAAGTTTCCGTAAATCATATGAGACATTAATCTTATCTAGATGATGGAGAAATAATATACATTGCAGAATATTGATAATTTACTAGAACACTGCTTGCACAAAATACAGGATATGAAGTAGACATGAACCACAACAAAGCTAAATATCTCATCTTTCAGTGTAGAATCCAAATGCAGTATCAATTTGTGGTTCCACAATGCAAAAGCTTCTAATAGATCTCAAAAAACCATTTTAAGGAAGACATACGAGATTACCCCTTTCATCTTCATCACCAATATGATTTTAAACTAACATTATATATTCCAACAAGCTAAAACTTGGACTCAATTTAACTAATTGAACTCAAACCCAAAATAAGAAAAAGGAAACAAACTCTTACCAACTTGGCTTGTAATTTCCCTAATATGATGGGTGTTTAGCGCGAACCACCGGTACCCTATTCGAGGTTGCCATGTGTTAGTACATCTTTAGGCTCAAAGTTCCGCACAGGCCATTTCGATTCGGGACAATAGTAGCGGCAAAATCTCAGAGACCAAAAGGTGCTCCTCTGCTGTGTTGCGTTCGCATTATCCTTCCTGGGTGTCTCACAAGCCCTAAATGTGTCTGAAATTTGGGGTGGACGAGTGGCGAGAGTGGCGAAGGATGGAGGAAGTGGCCAGAGAAATCGAAGGCAGGGGGGAGACGGTGGTGGGAAAGGTAAGATATTAGGATTGCAGGTGGAAGTGATGGTGGAGAGCAGAGCCTTAGCGGCTGAGGAAAATGGTGAGTTAGACAAGAAGAAAGGGGTGCCAATATCCTTTGACCCGATTTTAATTTTTGACCCATACTAGATCCGCGTGTGAACCCGTTTAGTTATGGAATTAGAATTGGAATTCTTTGGTCCAGCCAAAGAATTGGAACCATGGAATTCGATCGATTTGGAATTGTAATTCGATTCTAATTCTACAGGGAAGATAGTACCCAAACACAAGAATTGAAATTGGAGCTCCAATTCCAATTCTACGCTCCAATTCTATGGGGAACCAAACGTACTAAGGTAATTTTTACTGAAGAAATTCAATTTTATGGTTTGTCTACTAAAATTTACCTCTTACAATTTAGATGTGAGAGCGAGAGAGAGAGGGGAGGGGGTGGGGGGGGGAGGGGAGTGAGTACTGTAATTTGAGTATTTATTTACAATGCTAGTATCATAAGCCGTAGATTTGATTTGAAATTATGATTTTATAATTGAATGTATCAAAATGCAAAGTGCATAATATATTAGACGTCTCGAAATAAAAATATATACAATATAAAATAGAATATGGGTAGTAAAATACAGGACGCCTATGGGTATAATTCAAACTTTATGATGAAAATTCGACGTAAAAAAATAGAAACAAAAAAAAGATATATGTAAAAAAATAGAAACAAAAAAAAAGATATATGCATTTTTATGTTTACATAAACTTTTACAGATAAAAAAATATGCCATGAAAAACCGCTACATTTTAGGTTTAGTTTTCTGATAGTTCATCACTTTTAACAACTCTTTACAAAGCCACTATTGAGAAATTGACTAAATAAGTACATATAACACACTGAATTTATTGTATCATTATTGTATTATCTAATTAGATTCATATAATTGTCAGCCTTCTTTAAAATGTAATGCCTAATAGAATTTGAATAGAAAAGGCTCACACTAAAGCAATGTTTTTAAACTCGGCCCGATC